TCGAACTGCGAATCTTATTGATAATGAAATGAGATTATCCACTCTGCTTACTTTATCAACATTGTCCAAAAATCTGCTTACATTTCCTTTACAAAATGTTAATTTAAGGGATTAGGAAATTATGTTTTCATAGTTGAAATCATGAGACAATTGAAGCTAGACCACTATGGAGAGCCTGGAAGCATTGGATGGCCGTTTCGTCTTATTATGGGACTCCTCAGCAGTGCCCATCCACGATTAGTAAAGTGCTCTGGCGCGAGACTGGTAGGTCCTGGGTTCGAATCTCGCGAGGCGGGTTCGTGGATGCCAACTGCTGGTACTAAACGACCGTTCAATGCTTCCAGGCTTTCCATAGTGGTCTAGCTTCAATTGACTCATGATTTCAACTATGAAAATATTAAATCTCTACAAAACCCCTTCCGAAACTATGTTTGTTTAGCTATAGATCAAAAGTAATTCTGTTTATGTGAAAATGAAAATAAAATACACATTAAGAATCTTTTAAAATAAAATCTAATTAGGTAATTTAAAAGTTATGTACTTTTATAGAAATGATACAGGATTAATATACATCTGACTTTTAAGTTTACTTTGAATTTCTACCGAATCCATTCATAATAAGGCGCCTAGGCAACAATTTCATGATGTACAAAAAAGTGACATTTCTAATTGTAACTTCATGATTCTATTGTTTTAATGAAGTAATTTGTTATATTTTAAGATTTATTAAATAAACTAGCGATCGGTTCAAAACATTAGTTATAAAGGTAAATTGGAAGAGTGTTACACTTTGGGTTATATCTGTGAAACTACTGTTAGAATGATTATTTCCTTTACAAAATATTAGTTCATAAGAAAGATATTGAATAAAAGTCCGGTTTCATTTTCAAATTTTTACATATTAAATTACTAATGATGAGATTATTCTTATCATTAAAGTTAAGTTACTGAATATACTATATCGGGATATAGGTCTATAAAGCTGATTGTAATCAACTATAAATTCACATCCAAATAGTTTCATTGAGTGACTAGTTTAGTATATAATGTTAGAAAGAACTCATGAATTTTTGTTTTATTATCAATATATATGTAACTGTAATACAGACCAAATCGCAACTCTACGGATCATTGTGGAACAATCAATTGAATTGAATTCATCACTCTACATCAACTTCATTGACTACAAGAAAGCATTTGATAGCGTGGACAGGACGACACTATGGAGGCTTCTTCGACACTACGGCGTGTCTCAGAAGATAGTCAATGTCATACGGAACTCTTATTATGGATTGAACTGCCAAATCGTCTATGGAAGACAACTCACTGACTCATTCGAGGTAAAGACCGGTGTTAGGCAAGGTTAATTACTCTCAACCTTTCTTTTTCTCCTGGTGATCGACTGGATCATGAACACGTCAACATCTGGAGGAAAGCACGGGAGACAATGAACAGTTAGGATGCAGCTGGACGATCTAGACTTCGCTGATGATCTGGCTTTGCTATCACACATGCAACAATAAGACGACCAGTGTAGCAGTAGTCTCAGCAGCAGTAGGTCTCAATATAAACAAAGGGAAAAGTAAGACTCTCCGATACATTACAACATGCACCAAACGATTTACACTTGACGGAGAAGCTTTGGAGGATGTGGAAACCTTTACATATTTGGGCAGTATCATTGATGAAAACGGTGGATCTGATGTGAGGGCCAGGATCGGCATAACACGAGCAGCATATCTGCAACTGAAGAACATCTGAAACTCAAAACAATTTTCAACCAACACCAAGATCAGAATTTTCAATACAAATGTCAAGACAGTTCTACCGTATGGGGCGGAGACGTGGAGAACTACGAAAGCCATCATCCAGAAGATAAAAGTGTTTATCAACAGCTGTCTACGCAAGATACTTCGGATCCGATGGCCAGACACTATCAGCAACAATCTACTGTGGGAGACAACAAACCAGATTCCAGTGGAGGAAGAAATTACGAAGAAGCGCTGGAAATGGATAGGACACATATTGAGGAAATCACCCAACTGCGTCAAAAGACAAGCCCTCACATGGAATCTTGAAGGTCAAAGGAGCAGAGGAAGACCAAAGAACACATTACGCCGTGAAATGAAGACAGACATAAGAAGAATGAACAAAAGTTGGATAGAACTAGAAAGGAAGGCTCAGGACAGAGTGGGTTGGAGAATGCTAGTCGGCGGCCTATGTTCCGTTGGGAGTAACAGGCGTAAGTAAGTAATGTAATGTAATTGTAATGAAGCATGAACGATAATTTATTAGAATAAATAATATTGAAAAGGTTCAACATGGCATAATATGAAACAATGTTTTATGTCTTGAAAATATTCACATTTTACAACACTGATTTTTATTATCCATGATTTAAACACGTATGACGGTAATTTTACATATTATCATGGTTATAAAAGACGATTTTCCACCATCTTAATGATTCGTTTGAATTGCTGATGAATAAATTTCGTATTGATACTCACCAGAAGTGATAACTACTAGTAAAACTGTATTCTCGAATTTCTCCAGAGGTTTTCGTTTGCATAACGTACTACTACTATTACTACAATCACTTGAATATGACAAAAGATGATAATGTTTTATATCAAGTAACTTGATGTAGAACGTTTTCTATCTCAGGTTCCTTTTAATGGGTAACAGGCTATTATTAGTTTGTTTCCGGAATTTAACTTGATAAACCTGAATTTCAAATATTATTTAGTGATCCAGACACTTTTGGCAGAAGACCGATAAGGAAAGAACTGAAATGAAGCGCGATCGGTAGGAGAATGCATAAACAATGAAATTAGAGATGGTTTGGTATTTACGGAAGGAATAGTGAAGATTGAGAAAATTGATGGTTGTTTGCAAATAAACTGTTCATTGTATTGTTATCTGAATTTAGTGAGATAGTCTGTAATTGGTGTCTAAATACATTCGATTGTCCCCAGTCGTGTTTTGTTCACTACAATATTGATAGAGCACTTGATAAATAGTTCTCCTACTTTACAAGTCATCAGTATTAGGCAAGCAGCATCACACTCGTGTTTGGACCCAAGAACTTCATGTCTCACAGAGAACTCGACACGTTTACATCATTGATTTGAATTATAGTTACCTGCATTTCAAATTAATGTTACCGAGATCACCTAGCATTATTGGTCAAAAATGGTTAACCGATAATAAAGTTAACTTAATCACATACAACAGCTGGCAAGAAATTTGAGAAACTGAAATGCTTTGGTTTCGGCTACCTACTCGGTTTATAGAGAGTAATGTTTATGCTTAGAAGATAATATGTGCCAAAATAAACCCACTTGAACAACCGATGAAAACCACAAAGTAATCAGCAAAAATTGTTATGGAATGATAAATTTAAAGTGAATAATAATGCGTTAACCGGTTCTTCTCAAGTTGTCTCAATTAAATAGTTTTGACTACAAGAGTAAAATGGCCAGCGATATAATTAAATCAAAGATTAAAACTTCAAGTAGAATGCAGCTAAACAGATGTTGATCGGTTAAATAAATATTCAAAGAGTGATACTATTTTACTTATTGGTACACCCTTTGTTTTCAATTTCAGTGGACATTTTAAAACTTACTTACATCTGTTACACCTCGTCGAGGAGCATAGACTGCCCATCAGCATTTTCCATCCAACTCTGACCTACACAATCATTTCCAGTTGTTTCTAGTTGCTATTTATCCTTTTCATATCTGTTTCCTGACGTAGTGTGTTCTTTGACGTTCCACTTCACCGTTTCCCTTGAGGATTTCAAGTTAGGGTTTGCCTAGTGATGTGGTTTGATGATTTCCTCATTGTATGTCCTATCCACTTCCCATGTCCTTTCCTGTGTAGGCTTCACATTTGCTCAGATATCGTTTCTTCGGTATCTTGTTGAGGTGTTCTTCTTACCAGTCTGTCTGTGGTACTTGTTTCTCCTCCCAAATCTTCCTGAGTAGAACGTGGAGTATGTTTACAGTTACTGCTTTGATGTACAATTGATTCAATGGAGCTGACCTACTCAAGAGTTCCTCAAAGTGTTTAGCTCATCTCTTCCTCTTTTCTTGAATTCCAGTGATCAGCTTGCTTTCTTCATTCTTGACCAGTCTCTTTGATTTACTATATTTCCCACCTAATTTCTTTGTTGTGACATAGAGTTGTTTCATATTTCCATCTCTTGCAGCTTTTTCTACTGTCGTTGCTAGCTCTTCCAAGTATTTCTGCTTGTCGTCTTTACTTCTCCTCCCAAATTGCTCGTTTGCTTCTGAGTGTTCAGTTTGTGTCTTGAATTCACTTCCCTTCTTCGACTGGTGTCAATTGCTGTCTATTTGTTCTTCCTTTCTTGGATCTTGTCCATGGTTTCCATAGTGATCCATTCCTTGTGATAATGCTTGTTGCAGCACAGAATATCCTAACACGTTGAAGTTAATGCTTTCTCAATCCCTCTTCCAGTTGTCCTCCATGATAGTTTCATCTTCTTCCAGTAGATCTTGTAGGGCTTGTAACCTGTTGTTGAGAGTTATCTTGAATTCGTTGAGTTTGTTAGTATCTCGAAGGAATGTTGTATTAAACCTTTGTAAAGCTGTTTGTTCAGTTGCCCAGTTTTTTTTTAGCTCCCGTTTCATCTTGGTCATAACTAGGTGGTAATGTGAAGCTATATCAACTTCTCTCCTGGTTCTCACATCTCCCATTGTCCTTTGGAATTTTTTATTGATACAAATATGATGTATCTGTTTCTCGATCCGGTGAAATGCATATAGCTTTATATATGCGTTTGTGGGATAATATTTCTCCAGATCTTAACTATCGAAGCATTTATTTAAAGTAATACACAGTTATATTATCATATTTTGATTGGCTTTATGATTGATAGTTTAAACTGAAAGTTACTGATTTCTTTTTTGATACACTAATCATAACAGTAATTATATTAACCGCTTATTGATTAATATGTTAATAAAAAAAAACTAATATTTCAGCATTAATAACATAAACTAAATTTTTTTTACCGAAACTATATACACAAGTAACTCAATGATGTAAGTGCATGATATTCAAATAATTACCGATTCTTATCATATGATATCCATTAATGATTAGATGTAAAGTGAATAGAAAGATTATTTACATGGAATGAAGTTTCACAACTTCACCACATAAAATATTCTTTCTAGGAAAAAGAAAACAAAAAAAAAGAAAGAACAAATATACATAAATAAACCGACAATAAAAATCATTCATATCATTTTATTAATAGTTTACTTATCAATAATATAAATAATTTGTATTTTATGTAAAAGAACGAAAGTAAGAAGTTAAATATATATTCCACAATTGATCATTCCATATATCTTCCAAATTCTAATTTTTTTTTCTTTCTCTTTCTTCATTTTGTCCTTTTTCTGAAGTAAACAATTAGTTCATGCACTAGTGAATACATTGTATATACTTATCTTTTTTTAATATTTAATAACCAATCAAATTTTAATGAAATAACTGTAAAATGTAAATCAGTTTTGAACATTAGACTTTTATGATATTTTTTTTCCTAAAATTTAAATATAATCATTTAACAAAGCAGTTCCTTCATAAGGTATATATATATATATATATGTACTGCATAGTAACTATTCCTAATTATGTCATAAATATTAAACATACTAATTATGACACCTTAATAATATTGAACAAATTCATTTAAATATGAACTAAAAATTGATCATTTTTTTAAATTATGTAATAATTATTGATTTCTGATCAATGAATTCATTCAATAATCAATTTATTAAAAATAAAATACAAAAAAATAATTTAAAACATATACGTTTTAATGATTTTTTATCTTATTCATCATCAAATCAATATTTGAATCATATAAATTTATATAAATCAAATTTTAATATAAATTATTCATCTAATATAGAAATTAATAATATTATTAATTTAGATACAATATTTTTATCATTACATAATAATAATAATAATAATCGATTATGTAATAAAGAAATTTCAACAATTTTAAAGAAAAAAGATTTCAAACAATTTTCAATTATTTCTAATATATTGAATTTCAATTATCCACATAATAAGAATTTATTGTAAGTTTTATTTAAAATTAAATTTTTTTGTTATCAGAAAGAGGTTTTTGTAGAGATTATAAGTAATTTTATAGTTGAAATCATGAGTCAAATAAAGTTAGATCATCATGGAAAAACTAGAAGCACTGGACAGCCATTTCATTCTATTTAGGGGCTCCTCAGCAGTGCGCATCCATGATCCCTCCTTGAGAGATTCTAACCCAGGAACTGTCAGTCTCTTGTGCGAGCGCTTAATCACTAGACTACTGAACCGGCATCCAACGGAGTTAATGTCTAACTTCAACCGATCCACGAAATTGAGCAACCTTCCACCATTGTCTTCAGTGAGTTGATATCTTACAACAGACCCGTTTGAATTCTACTGGTCACTGCTTCTCACTAGAACTCTAGGAAATGCATCTTGAAGCCAGTCACTAGTGAGCATGTGATTATTAATTGGAAGTGATTAGTAAAAAACTAACAAACAGTAACATATGGATATTATGTAATTCTATAAAAATTGAATGATTACCAGTTAGAGGTTAGCAGTCCAGTTAATCAACATCTATATAATGTATATTCTTTTCACTGCATTTTGCTAACATCCATAATATCTTTGATTGGGCGTTTTATAACCAGTACAACGAAAGGATGTACACTTTCCAGAAAGCTATCTGAATGGAATATGCAATTAATAGCCATAATAATTTATTAAAAATAAGAAAATTAAGTAAGTTGTTGAACTATTTAGATGACAGGAACAGGTAGCTCAGATGTTCAAGCAGGCCGCCACATAATTAAAATGTAAATCTTGTTACTTTTCATTAGTTTTAAAATAACATCTCAATTATCGGCTGAAAATCTATATAACTTTAAAAAAAGAAAAACAAACGGTTTAAATATGAAGTTATTTATGAAAATAGTGTTTTTAATAGTTTTTTCCCGTTTCTGTTTTTTATTACAATAATATTACTGCGTATATATATTTAATAATTATTCGTGGATTGATTGAAATTAAACATTAACACCGTTGGATGCCAGCACAGTGGTTCTAGAGGTTAAGCGCTCACGCGCAAGACCAACAGATTGTAGGTTCGAATCTCTCAAGGAGGGATCATGGATGCGCACTGCTGAGGAGTCCCATGATTGGGCGAAACGGCCGTCCAGTGCTTCCAGGTTTTTCATAACTAGCTTCAATTGACTCATGAATTCACCCAAACCCTTCTGAATAATAAACGTAATTATTGAATTTATAATTAATTGAAAAACAATAATATATTTCCTTCAGACTATTTCTATAAATAAATTTTTTGCTGAACATTGAAATGGTTTATGAATATTTATAAAAATATAGTCAAATAGTATATTAGTATAAGTTTACTTTTGTATTCTGACATGTATGATCGATAATAAATATTTCTTGTGACAATAATGAGTACTATATAAGATTATTTTGTTTCAAGTGAAGCAAAGATTGATCCAACCCATAAAACCAGGAGGCTTGGGTTAAAAACCTAATAATGAAATGTCTTTAATTTTGTTTTTCATTATATCTCACTTTTAAATGTATTTGAATGAAATGACCGTGAGGACAAGAATAAGAAGAAACATTGTTACTACATATCAACTATCAGATTTTTAGACAACTCCAAACATGGTAGAAACATTTTTTATATAAAGTAATGTGAGTGGGTGTCGACTATGGTGTACCTCTGAAATATTTGCGCTTACATATATATATATATATATATATATATATATATATATATATAATGTTAACATTAATATAACATAGCATTCCATTTAAAGAAAAGGTAAATTTTATCCAGGAAAATCGATCATTTCAATGTCAATTTAATGATTATCGTTATATATATATATATATAAATCAAATGTATTTATGTATGTGTATCTGTGTAATCACAACTTCTTATAAGTTGGTTATCATAAGATAAAATTATTTCAAATTCACTATTACATACAAAACAAAACTAAGAATAATAGTAATAGTGATATCTATCTATCTATCTATCTATATAAACGACCAATGCTTCATGAGGCACGAAATAAGCAGGAGTTAGGCAAAGATCATGTAGCTGTCAGATTTAATGACATCAAAGTTGAAAATATTGTAACGTGAGTTAATTTTTTATAGATATTTAATAGGCTAACCTAATAGATATGTTATAATAGATTATTTTTAACCAAATTAATACAGTTTCCTTTCAATCTATAAGTGTAGATGAAATTGGTATCAATAAAAATATATTTGTTTCAGATGGTCACAATTGATTGATCACTGGGTGGTAATCAACGTCATGTGTGTCAATTTCTTTTAAGTGCAGTACGAATGCTATCGATCAAGTTGCTATGTGGCCACTAGTCTGGGTGACTCGACACTGTGTGCACTATGATGAGATAAGATGGTGGCTGGAGGTGGTCAACAGGAAACCTTGAACCCGGGTTTCGTGCTACATGGTTTTGATCCACAGAAGTCGGCAATTTAACGAAATATTTTATAATTTTTTATTAAGAGTTGAATTAAGTGTTATTTACCTATATATATACATATATATACACTATATATATCTATATATCATTGAGTTGCATCATGTAAATCTTTTGGTTACGATTGGATCATTGAATCAAGCAAGTTTAATAAAGTGAGTAGAAAGTTGCTCAAGTCTGTTCAAATGGCCAGTTTACTACAAATATATTTTTAAGTCATTCCACTGCTCACAAATCCCAATTTATACCATTAAGAGATGTCATAGATCACAATCCATTGTTCAGAGTAATATTTCCATATTAACTAGCACACTGCTAACCGAGATAGATGAGATGCTGTCTGAACACTTGAATTTGTTAAAAGGATATATCTCATGTATCCTCTTCTCTTAGCGGTATATTTCAGTTAGCTTAATTCAAAAGTCCTATTTTTTTGTTAATATTAAATATCCTAAAATACAAGGATAAGATAATGAGTTTAGTGAGGTTTTTTCAGTTATCCTTCTTTGATGTCGTTGACTTTCCATTTAATTTATCATTTACAGAATTAGTAGGAGTTACTTTTTCATGCAAACGGGTAGCTACAGTATTCAAAATACCACTCAACTATATGGATTTCCTACAACTCGAAGTTATTTTCTCATTAACATTTTAGCGGCCCTCGAATATCTGACTCCAATTAGATCGTGTGATCAACGTTAACGAATTATAAGTATTATTAATTCTCACATATAATCATCAATTTGACTCGCGTTAGTGAATAACGGGATTAAATAAGTCAAACACTAGAATGAAGTTTGACTGCATATATTTAATACAATCATTGATCCTAACAAACAATCAGAGAATCACAGAAAAGGAAACGAAGAGGAAGGAGAGAAGCTAAACTAAATGACGTGCAGTGGAGAAGGCGAGTAGGCCAAATCGATTTAATCAAGCATGAATCGATATTTATTGTCAGACAAAAATAAGCTACAAACATGTTATGAGTAAGATAAGAAATGCACACATATACGCTCACATAAAAACAGTTAAGGTTGATAAGTGATTGATGAACAAGATCAAAATGTGACTCAATAAGAATGAATAGATTGGCTGTCCTGAAACTAGAATAAGGTAATTGGGCTTGATATAACAACCGACAGGTGAAATTACGAATTATTAAATTTCAAATCATTGGTTAAATGATTGCATGATAAAATCTCGCTTTGATCAGAATGATCAGCTGCAGTTATTAATGAGTAGTACTATCAAATTAAATAATGTATAACATTATTGTCATCAATTATATCAATGTTAGTAATATTGATACTTTTGTCGTGATCAAACTATTGAAAAGAAATAGTTGTAGTTTTCAATATTATTTGAGTACATCTTAGTTTTAGTCGTCATTTTTCGATTTCCGATATCTATTGTGACAGTTTCATGAAGTTGTAAAATATTTCATTATTTCAGCTTCGGAACCTATATATAAATTACTGGACTTTTTAAATATTTGCATAAATAGGTCAAGTCATCGAAATGCTAGCAGTTTGTGAAAACTTCGTTGAGTTGGATTCTTTGTTTTCGAACTTGACTTCAAATACTCGGATGTTTTAACGATGAAAAAGTTTGTTTTCTTTTATCCAGAGGAACTACGAACTATACTTTGTAGAATACACTTGATCTGGGAATTTTCTAGGATTAACTGCCATTTTGACTTAACCTGCGAAGCATAAATTATTGTTCGCACATGAGTGCTCTTTCTGAACTGACATCCAATCACTCATCAGCATGGTTTTTGGGAGGCCAATGGAAATCAATCAATCGTCCTACTACTGAATCTCTAGCAGTATCTATAATAATAACTCTACAATTCTCTATTTTATTATGAGCCACTAGATGCCAAAATATAAATATAAATACGTCTATGTGTTCTAGTAACTGAGATTGTTCAGAAAAAAAAATTCTTCGTCACAACATTTTTATTATCTTCAGTGACTCCCCAAATTTCTTTCACTGTTACTCAGACGTTTTCCATTGTCTTTGTATGCCAGTTCAAACAAGTTGACCATACTTCGTAACCCAATTATCTACACACAGATCTACAGACGGCTAAGATTCTGAATACAAAGTGAATGAAAAGTGACCAATTTTTCTGAAACTTATCTCCATAAAGAATTTCCATGAATGTGCCTCATTAAGAAATCTTCATACTTTCCATTCATTTGTGGACCCAATAGCTCATCATTATCGTCTCAGAATAGAATCGGCTTACCAATTTTCGAATCTACCAGGTGCTAACGGTTCACTCCAGATCACAGTTATGCTTATCTGACGAGTGCCAGCTAATACGAAATACAGCTACCTTTGAAAATCTAATAACCCATGCTGTTCACAAAGCTATAAATACTAATAAATAGCTTCAGTCAGGATTTTGAAATCAATGATAACAATAAAAAAACGAGTGGGGTTCAAATATACGAAATTGAAACAGATATCGCTGATCAAATTGTACGTCCATCTAGCTATGGTATATATTGATTGAAGTTGGAAATTTACACTACAAAATTCAAACCCAGAGGTTAAAACCGTTTCTTTTGCTTGTTGGAAGGATAGAAGGTTTTGAGATCAATCTCACATATAATTTTGGGTTTATTCTGCTGTGAATTTCAAAACTGAAGTCACCTTTCAGATTAACATAACACAAACATATCTAATATTTTCAGGTTGATTTTCAATTTATACTTGGTTTAACAAGCTTAATTCGTCGTTGTGCATCAGAATAATTAACATGATCTTTACTATAGACTTTGACTATACATGGTCCCTGGATGCATATGAGAATTGAACAAACACGAATACATGTTCATCAGACAGTTAGAACTTTTACACCACAGACAGACTTTGATACAACGACCATTGAGTATCGGAATGCATTAAATGTTTTTTTATTTACTAATTATAATAAAATGTTTTTTTTCATTATCTTTTAATATTTAGACATGATACTGTCGAAGAACCTCATTGTAAACGGTGTGATGAACAATTTACTGAAGATGAAAATATCGTTTCTGTTAAAGATGACATCTATCATCCAACATGTTTTGTGTAGGTTTAAATTTTTAATAAATGTCCTTTGATCACAACCTAAAAGTGTAAAAGTAAAACAAAACTTATGAACTATAGATGCATACAAAAAGCTCAATCACTTAAGGAAACTGACAAAACTACTTGTGAAAAAAAAACTATTAATTTTAGATATCATAATACATTTGTATTAGTTGTTTATTCTTCGCATTGATTTTTAGTACTGAAGTTGATCGATGTCCTTCAATTGTGGATTGCCTCGACATTATCAGGTTACTTGTTTTTAATACCGGCTTGAACATCAACTCTGCAATGTAGTTACATTTAGCTGAAGTTTCTCAAATCGGACGAAACCTGTGTCCTGAATTTCAATGCTAGCCACCATCTAAATATAAAATACCGTAGTTGCAGTAAAAGTCAAATCAATAGCCTATTATATAACATATTTACAGTTTAAAAGGTTAGGCAGTAGGTATACAGTATTATAGGTTCATTGACACCTAGATGTAGGTACATGCAACTGATTCATCTAGTAACAGTTCATAGTTTACTAACTAGTTACTGTTAACTACTATTACTTGTAAAGTAATAAAATATTTAGTGAATTGCTCTATATTAACTTATGACTAGACACAAGTTAAATGAGTTTTAATTTGATGTAACACAAACTGTTAGCGGGTTATTTATGGTACAAATATAATCAGAAATATTAGTATGGTAGTATATGTAACTTGTAATGATAAACCATAGGTATGTAATATAGATGAAATCATTTGCAAATGGGGCTTATATTCACAAAGCAATAACTATCAATGAGGTTCACTTTTAACCTTACGTAAACAATTTTTAGATATAAACTTAGATTCAAAGATTACAAAAACTAATATCACTTATACCTACAAGAAATTTGATTTCTGTATAAAATGTAAAATTTTAAAACACTACGAAACAAACATAATTCATCACACTGTGCATTCATTGAGTCGAGGTTTTCCGATTTAAGGACTAAACCATGATTTACTATTCTAGAATATTGTTTCAAGTATTTTAGCTCTAAATAATATTTGTATATCCAGCTCTTTTACAAGAGAGACATCACACAGTTTATTAAATAATATCGCTTTTAATCAATCAACTGCGCTTCTCAATCTGTGAAATCTTCATGATACTTGGAAGCACTGGACGGCCGTTTCGTCTTATTATAGGACTCCTGAACAGTGTGCATCCACGAACCCAGGACGTACCAGTCTCGCGCCAGAGCACTTAACCGATAGACCACTGAGCCGGCATCCAACAGTGTTAATGTCTAACTTCAACTGACTCACGAACTTCAGCAACCGTTCACCAATTGTCTTCAGTGAATTTCTACCTCACAACAGACGTTTTTTGAACTCCACTGGTTACTGCTTCTCACTAGAACTACAGGATTTACCTCTCGAAGTCCACGAAACCCCTTCTGATTCTAATTTCATAATAAATATGAGATGTACACATAAAATGTTTCTAATTAATGGAATTTTTATTTTCAATAACATTTCTTCCACTTTTTTCATTCAACTCTTAAGATGTACTCAATGTTTTCAACCATTACCTAACAAAGAATTTTATGAGGTAAGTTAATTCCAAAGTTACGTAATACTCATATGAAATTTACTAATCTGGTCATGTTTAAGTTAATTAACTTGTTTAAGTTGTCGAAGATTTGGTAGAGAGTGACATTCATAACCTCAGTAACTGATTTACAATTTCTACCAGCCACCGATAGATTATACTCAGCATTATTCAGTGAACCTATGATATACTGACGGTGCTATGATGTTTCCTGTTATCAAATACTAGTGATCCAGATATTTGCTCTACCAGTGAGGGTTGTTTTCTTATAATTACTAAATAATGAAGATGAAACTGGTGTCCGGTATACTCATTACTTAGCTTGCGAATAGACATTTCACCTACGTTATACGACGCATAAATTGACAAAAGAAAGCTCCAAGTGTATATGTTGAAATTTATATTTTGCCTTTAACTTCTGTCGTGTGATACTATATATATATATATATATATATATATATATATATATATATATATACTGACAGTGGTATGTTACTTGAAAGTCAGGAATGTACTTAATCTTTTGAACATTGCAGAAAATTTCCGCTCTAATAAAAGTTTTACTTTTCTTCCGGATACGCATTAGAGAACATCTTGGAAGTATTAACTTACTTGTCCAAAACAATCCAATCTACTGAGCACCTCACTGGAAGAAAACCAGTAATTTGTGCAGAGTCGACATAAACCTGTTACTCACAGATGATATTAGACAACGGTTTTATGAACATAATAACTGACCAAAGTTAAAGACGATTTTTGTACTTATGAATTCAAACATTATATTATTTATTGGAAGATCGTAATTGGCTGAGCTCTATTTCAAGTCTAATCAAGAGGAGGAATGATTTGTATTTTTTTCAAACTGAGACTCGGCAATTACCTAATGACCATATAATTTTTTCAAAGTTAAATTCACGACTCGATCTAAGCTAGATCATCATTGAAAACCTGGAGCAGTGGATGGATGTTTCGTCACAGTATGGGACTCCTCAGCAATGCACATCCACAATACCGAACGTGGGACCCAAAATCAAGACCGTCGATCACTACATATTACAATCTCCACAAATCCCCATACTAACCATAGAGTTGTTAATTGGTTTTTTAGTGGAATACTGTTTATGATACAAGTCACCCTTAAACAGAACAACTGTCCAGTAAATTACTGACATAAATAACGTATCTAACTAGAATACTAGTTAAGAAAGTTTTATTTTATCAAGTATATTACTGAGTTTCATTTCTAATCGTTAATTCTTTTAAAAATTTTAGTTTGAAGGTCGAAGATATTGTAAATATGATTTTCAAGTACTTTTTGCACCTTTGTGTTTTAAATGTGGTAAGTCGGTATTTATTTAACTGGATTACTTCCTTTTATATAATTAGCCATTATAACTCTTAAATGAAACGATTGACTTTATTTAGTGTCACAGTGTTAATCATTAACAACAATAATAATGTATTCTGGAAATAACTAAAGATATCTACATCAATTTATGGGAATGATTAAGGTAATACTAAATGGTTACTAATAAAGGTATTTGAAAAGTTGTGGTTTAAATAAACATTTGTCACAAGTTTTTTTAGTATTTTGAAGTTTATATTGATCAAGGAATGCACCACACTGTTATCTGGATACATGTGATAATAGTTATTTTTATTGTAACCATAGTGTTATCTTTAATAAGTTAGGTAACAAGAAAATAAATGCTCTAAGAAGTAGTATAGCTACATAAGGCTTTGAAACGTAAATGTCATATAAGAATTAGTATTTTCTTAGTAATAATAATTAATACGTCACAACTGTAAATAAATAGTGTAGGACAATATATTTTCAGAGCACTCAAAAATAACAAAAGTTACTACAACAGGCCTATTGTCGTATATGTTCTTGGTCTTTTCATAATTCATTGCTTTATATAAGCTTTATCCAATAATGAAATGAATGAAAAAAGTAAGATAAGCTATGGGACTAACTAGGTATATCGAAAGTAAAAAATAATAATGTCTTGTAATAAGGTAATTTCATAAGTTATCGGTATGAAGGAAAGTTTGACAAGTGTACTTAAAAATAAGTGTTCGCGCATTTAAGCTACTTATAATTTCATTAATGGAACGAGATATAATTATTAGTGTAACCGTTTCTAAGATCGTTTAAGAAAATAAGGTGTTATCCAAGTGTCATACAAACGATTGTAGTGAGTTTGTTAAGCAGATAGATTGTGACAGAATATTGCTTTTAAGGTGTTTCACACACACAAAGTATCTTTCGATATTGAGTAATGAATCCTATAACTTGGGGATTTAACAAAATGAATCGCACCATTAGATGTAAATAATAATATATTCGGGATGTAAAAGAAAACGATTATATTTTGTTTAAGTAACTTTTTTAATAAGCCCCATAACAAGTCCTAGCTTCTTGAGTCTTGATCGATGGTCCAAAATATAATCCCTAACAAAAGTATCGAGTATAACGCTAGAACGAACATATATCAATTCAAGTCTATCTTTAGTTAGAAAAAAGAAATTATTCTAGAAGCAGTTAAGCGCAAACAAACAATTAAGTTTTCTTCTAAACATTCTTGAATAATAGTGTTGTACTTTAAGCTATTTTTAAGAGTATATATGTCAAAGTCCTGAATAAAGTTACCATTTGTTACACGAAACTACCAAATGTCTCGTAAAGACCGACATTTAGCATAGTTGTATGCACTGCACATTAATGTTCACACTTAAGTTTATTCTAAACCTGTAAAATTCAGTTGATAATGTTTAATTTCTTCTGTTTAGGTGAATTTATCATGTCAAAAGTGGTAAAAGCAATGAATCGAAGCTGGCATCCTGAATGTTTAGTTTGTGATGAATGTGGTATTCAAATTGTAAGCAAAGGATTTCAAAGACATAATACAAGGCAAGTGGAATGATAAATTTTTTAATATGATCCAACAATTAACTCTTTCTCATTGACAAATAGATGAACATGAACGACAAATATTCTATAAAATAAATTTACTTTAGGTTATACAGTTATAGGTTTAAATAATTAATGTAACGGACTAGTCAGGTGTAAAACAAATACAACTTTTGAGCACAAGATTGCCACTATGATATCACTATAGGGTTGTGAAGTTTATTGAGTTTTTACTGTGATCATGAACCAATCGATGTTAGACAACGACTGAAAACCTGGTAGCACTGAACGGCCGTTTCATCCTAACATGGGACTCTTCAGAGTCGTGCATTCACAATCTCGCGTGCGATACTCCAACCCAGGATTTTCTGTCTCACGTGAACGCCTAACGTTTATACCACTAAGTCGACATCCAACGGTGTTAATTTGCACTTCTGAAGAGTCCCATACTTAAACGAAATGGTCATCTACTGCTTCCAGGCTTTTATTAGTGATCTAACATTATTTTTTTCATTATCTCAATAAAATTAGTAATATTGAAATGACTAGTATGTCTTATTAACTTCCATACGTTTAAACTTCACATAAAATCGTTAAATTAAGAATCAGAATAAATGTAGGTAACATATGGCGAGTGAGATATGAAAATACAACTGAAAATGTGATAAAATATTTTATTGAAAATGACTTAGCAGAAACCAGGGAACACTAAACAACCCTTTCGCCTTAAAATAGAACTTCTCAACGTTTTGTACGAATATTATGGTTAGAAGAACGTAGAGTACTATAAACCTGAGTGTTGTAACTCATAATGGCTAAGTCAAAAGAGATGGTGGCGAAGTTTCGTGCTCAATAATATTGTCCGTCACCAGGTTATTTTTATCTGTGTATAAATTTAATCTCACCCAATTGAATCATCACACTATGAATGAGGTCACACTCAAGTTACCTTCCAGTATTAACACTCTGATACAGTTAATCAATAATAATTGTCGAAGTAAATGATTTTAATTTTAGCACTTAAAAATTTTAGGATTATGTATTGTACATCCGTTGTGGTAAAGATCTCAAAATGAATCATAGCATTAAGCAGATCACACTAGATGCAGTATTAACACAGTGGTACTACAAAGTGTTTCTACGAGTCTAACAAACATCTTTACAAGTTAGAAACAGAATTATTATATTTCCATTAAGCAATGATTGTCACATGGTTCTCTTTTCTTGTTAATTTATCAAACTAGATTTTATTATCTTCTAAGTACATTATACTTTCATGTATGTGTACATTTAGCTTTACTTGTATGCACTACTTAAGAATACACATATAAACATACTAATATTTCACTTAAAACCATATGTATATAGATCAACATGATTTCATGCAACTCTTATTATCAAAATATTAGTATAAACTAGATAAATTTATTAAATTCACAACAGAATTAATCAAATTTAAGATAAATGTTTATATAAATGGTGTGTATTTTAGTATTAAAAAAAAGGAAAAATATTTATTTAAATGAAATAGAAAACTTTTCAAAAAAATTCATTTGTATATTCAAATAATGTTTCAATGCATTTCATCTGGTTTTGTTACCATAGTAATTAAAAATCAAAGATTAATGGTTGATGTATATATTGATTTCTGTGAGGCCTATGCTCCTCCACAAGGGGTAACAGGCGTAAGTAAGTAAGTATATTGATTTCACAATATAAGGAGAATATTATCATTGTATTTCGTTTTTGAATGTAGAATGTTCCGTAGTCGTGTAAAAAAAGGAAGAAAATGAAATATAATCTTTCATGGTTAAAATATTAAATTAAGTTATTTGGATTCAGTTTCAAATACTTTGAAAATAAATAAAACAGCTGATGTTACAATGATCAGGATGTTTGAAATTCCAGTACTTTTATGTAATTTCATTCCTTAGTCAAAGTCATCTATAATCAAATCTATCAGAACATGATAAAGCGAGAATAACGGTGGTATATACAAGTAAGAAAACTAAATAAAATGTGTAAAAATACCTTACAATAATTCTTCCACTTAACACATTTGGCAATTTGTACAAGCAACTACTAAAATCAAACTATAAGAGCTCTAATGAGAAGCAGTAACCAGTGAGGTTCAACTAGGTTTGTTGGGAGATATCAACTCACTGAAGACATTGGTGAAATGGTTGCTCAACTTCGTGGATTGGTTAAAGCTAGACATTAACACCATCGGATGCCGGTCTATCGGTTAAGTGCTCTGGTGCAAGATTGTTAGGTCCTGGGTTCGAATCTCGCGAGGCGAGATCGTGAATGCGCATTGCTGAGAAGTCCCATAATAGGACGAAACGGCCGTCCAGTGCTTCCAGGTTTTCGATGGTGGTCTAGCTTCGATTGACTCATTATTTCAACCATGTATAAGACAAATAATTAAATAGTTAAGAAACATGAACTGATTATGCGTCATTCAATTCTTAAGAGATAAATCAATTGAATCAAATCACAGTTGGCTGATCAAGGAAAGGGAATTGATATCCCTGAAGCCAGAACAGAATGTCAATTGAAATAAAATTGCTGTCAGTAAGAAAATAATGAAAATAGAGTTAGTGCAATTTAAGAAATATAGTTGGAAGTACATATAGCCCATAAGCTTATCGTGGATCCCATTCTAAACATAGCCCACAAAAATGGATTGCCGAGAAGGATAACTTTATGTTTAAGATAAAGCCAAATGTTAGTGTGATGTAGTATTTGAATAGGAAGAATGTTTCCACTCACAAGCATACATACACATAAACATTCAGGTACATAAATATATCTTGCTGTCGTATCCTACTATCCAAATTAGCCACCATACACTTTTATAGACGCTTAGTCAATCAATCACGGAGAGGAGAATGACCGAGACAAACTGAAAAGCTTAACCATCAAAATACCAAAAATCTCTTTACCACTTACTCGTATATATAGGTTATATGAACTTAACTTAATTCATTGATGAACAGTTCATTTTTTTCAAATTCCAAATTATGTTAATATTTCGAGAAAATAAAACTTACTAACTTAAATCCAGATTAATTGAAAACAATAAATAAAACGAATCTATTGTATTCTGCAAGTATTATTATAGCTTTATTAAAGTATTTGTAAAAGTTGGAAATTACCACAAACAACAGATATCTTTTATATATCCTCAGTACACAGTTGGTCGGGAAGTCAAAATGATAAGTCAGTATTATTTGGATACGTATTTGAAACTACCTAATGTTCTGTAATTGTTTGCTGCTATCTTAGAACTTCTAGGAATTACACATTCATGTACTTGCTACATAATGGATTTTTTAATTTCGAAATACTCATAAACAATAGTTTTACATTTAATTCTAATAATTTTAAGACTGTTCTTATATTTCGCCATGATACTTACTCGAAAATACTGTAGAAAAACGAATTGCAAAGTAGCCTTTTATGAATCAATCCTCAATCTATCGAGGTAGTATATTTTACAGAATATATGTGATTTTCAATGGCTGATATAAAATATAAACATGTAGAATATTAGTTCAATTGTCACAGATATATGATGAAGAATATACAAGAAATAGCTGTAGTTCAACTGAGTTTCAACACAAGCCATCAAAATCAATATTCATTCAAGTATAGACATTCATTCAGCCTTTGAAAAATAGGCTTTATTAATCTTGCAATTTAAATGTCGGTGAAACCTATTACCTTGTATTCATACAGCTGCTGACATAAAGAACATCATCAGTCGTTACTGCTCGTCAATTTGAGAGCACTATTTTTGTATCATACTGAATTCACTAGCCTGTTCTACATAAATCTCAACGGTGATAGTCTTGGATTCCACTGCTAGCCACTATCCATCTCTGCTTACCATGCTTGTGAATTAAGGTATATCGAGGCAATACGCACAGTATGCACATATGCCAATTAGAGACTGACTAGTTGCAGTCAGAAACACATCGATGGAAGATTCAAACAAACAATACTAAGTGAATTGGTGATAGTTTTTGTTTTTACATTAACTTACAGGTCATTTCTTTTATATGATAAGATTCAATCTGGTAACTCATTAAGTTGCAAGATGTACCACTTGGAAAAAGAATATGAATCAATAACACGTTTTCGAAACATTTTTTAATCGTTTGCTCAGTCTACGTAGCTGACTATTTTGTCATGTGAACACCTTATATCAATCCATCAGTATTCCTTTAAACCTAATTTTAGTCATTTTTCGATGATGCAGTTGGCAACTGACTCTAAAGTATACGTTTTCCCACATTCTTAAACTTGTTTGTTTTAATAATTATGAACAATACTTCAGTAAAATATCGTTACCAAGGTTTGACTTAATAATTTCAAATAAATTGAGCATTAGGTAGATTGTTTAAAATATATTTGTAATATCCCTATTAGTAGAAAAATTAGATTTTCTGACGTTTCATGACTCAGTGTAAGCCACTTCTTCAGAGAATAAATAAACAAACGTCAGAAAATCTAGTATTTCTACTCATTGGGATAATAATTTAATAAATTAAGAATTTTAATATCTTAATGCTTATTTTGTATGAATAATAGATATCTATAATGTTCAGTTTTCTTGATGAATAATTATGTTCTGCTATATTTTAATATGATAACCAGTGTGTATTCTAATGAATTCTTGATAGAATCCTGTGTAAAGATTGTTGGCCTGTTATATGTCAGGAATTAGTTGGCTGTCATATATGTCAAACATGTCATAAACCAATTGAATTAAATAAACACATCAAATTTATGGGTGATTTTCATCATCCACATCATTTTCATTGTTTTGATTGTGATCAAGAACTCGGTTTGGATGCACATGAACGTGGTGGTGAATTATATTGTCTTAAATGTTTCAGTCGTTCTGGTGTATCAATATGCTCAGCATGCAGGTGAATAAATAATCATTGCAATTTTTTATATTAGATTAATTTCAGATAAATTTTGTTTTTTTCAAGTTTGAATAATAACAAGTATATCTGTTTGAAAGAAAACACTGAAAGTATCAAAATGTAATAGACTTCTGAGGTAATTAGTCCATTTGATAAATTTCGATAGTGTAATAAGAAGATGAAGATTTTCTTTCTTACATAAAACGGTGAATGTCAGATTCACTCTTTATTGATGAGAGCAAATAATAGATATTTAGTTTAGCCGGAATGAATAATTAGTTGTTTTGCCAAAAAAACTCATACATTTCATATAAAGGAAATTCAATGAAAGATCTTCTACTGGTTTGTATAGCTTGAATAATCTAGTTAGGAAAAATTTGGTTTTGTTAAATAAAAAACAAGAAACTAGAAATAAAGTAAAGGACAGTCGATCTAGAGCTCAACTTTACTTTCGGTGTCACTACTCAGAAAATCAACTGGACGTTTTCATCTACTACAAACATATTTCAATATAATATCCACAAAAACCCCTTCTGATATTAATCAACATATGCTCACTAGTGATTGCTTTCAAGAGGTATTTCCTGGAGTTCTAGTAAGAAGCAGTGACCAGTGAAGTTCAACCGGATCTGATGTGAGATAGTAACCCACTGAAAACAGTGGTGGATGTGTCGCTCAATTTCGTGGATTAGTTGAAGTTAGACATTAACACCGTTGGATGCCGGCTCAGTGATCTAGAGGTTAAGAGTTAGCGTGCAAGACCGATAAGTTCTGGGTTCAAATCTCGCGAGTGCGGGATCGTGGATGCGCACTGTTGAGGAGTCCCACAATAGAACGAAACGGCCGTCCAATGCTTCTAGGTTTACCATGGTGGTCTAGCTTCAGTTGATTCATGATTTCAACAATTAAAATTACTATAGATTCTAATAAAACCTCAAAGTATAAAAGGTTACATAAACTTTCTAATTAACTTTTAGATTTTAAAATACACATTTAATTACTTATTTAACTGATTTCAAATAGATCTGTTTCTGGATCGTTAGTTCAGATTTAGATGAATTGCCACGTTAATCAAATGGCGATGATGATAACGATGTTATCGAAAGATACAGAGATATTCCATTATATTTAGTCACTTATGAACAATAGAAAGTTTTGTTATCCGGCTAATTATTAATCATATAATATGTCTCTGAGTCACTGAAGTCTTATCTCCACAACAAAATTGATATTGGATATGATAAGAGTTTTGCTTCTATTTATACTCATCTTTATCAATCTATAAAAGGATGTTTTAAACTGTTGTTTATCAGAAAAATGGTCGTTGGCACTACTTTTAAAATCCTAAGCTAAAACATTGAAGTAGTTGTCTTTCTTCTAAATGACTTGGTAACATAACACAGTTTAAGCTTAGATTGTGAATAACATAAAGGAATGAAACGGTGAATATGTTTTATACTTACTCAATATTTGAATCAACACAATTATAAAGAACTTAAGAAAGATAACTATGTAGTGAATTTTATGTAGTAGTTTTCAAAAGTCTCCATCACAATATGCAGATATTTACATCGTTCAGAGTAACCATAAGGTTATTTTTTGTATCTGATACCTATGGGGATCGTCAAAACATCAGACGTTTTTCTCCCTAAACTCATGCCTATCTGTGCTTATGTAAATGGTTGGAAAATTAGATCACTGAAGATTGCTTGTTTTATCTTGTCATTGACAATTTACGTTTTGAACACATGGAAAGTTCAATCTTATGACCAAACATCTACCACTGTTTCTAGTACTAGCACATAACAAGATTGTGGAAAAGTCAGTTTCTCCTATTTATGACTGTTTAACTGAATATAACTGCAGTTAACATTCAGAAATGAAAGATTAGTAATCAACTCTTGAGCTGAATTCTTATCTTTGAGTAATCGTACTTCATACTTCATAGTCACTTATTGGATCTCCCGACATGAATATTTGCTAACGATATACCTTAGATTTCACTCAGAAGATTTATTTGTGGAAAAACATTGTGTCAATTACATTTAGTTATTTTTCTTCACTATATATCTTTAATTTAGACGTCCAATTGACGGTCGCATAGTTTGGGCACTTGGTAAAGTTTGGCATGTTGAACATTTTGTATGTCATCACTGTGAAATACCATTTATGGGTAGTAGGTTTTATGAGTGGCAAGGACACGCCTACTGTCTACTACATTATCAATCTAAAATTGGAAGTGTCTGTCATATATGCGCGAAACCGGTTACTGATACATTGGTTAAATTTACTAATAAAATCTATTGCCCTGAACACTTTCTTTGTTCACTGTGTGATAGAAAATTAGATGAAAAGTAAGTGGATCATTTAATTTTCTTATTTTAAAGATCTTTTCAAATAACTGATAACCTAAAAAGATTAAACCCTTAATATTAAAAAGCTTGAAATAAATTGAATGGTGCTTAAATGATAGTGCTTTTCAACAATAAGTAGATTGAAGAAAGATATATCCTTTTATAATCACACTGTTTGACCTGACCGTTAAAATTTAATCTGCTTTGAGTATGAGAATATAACGTTGATTTTGAAAGACTATTTCGGCAGTTCCTGTAAAAAGCTATGATTGATAGATTTCCAAAATGTTAAATGTGAGACACTAACGCATCAACGATGATAGGTATACGAGCAAAACGATAAACTGATTGAAACTAGAAATATTTACCATTTCAGTATCCTGAAGTAATACACTCACTTCAAGAATCGTAACTATGGATTCATGTTTCAGTGTGGTCGTAAACGAGCAATGTTGAGGGATCCCACAATAAAAACAAACATTCGTCTCGTGCTTCCTGATTTTAAACGGTTGTGTAACAAAGGTTAGTAAGTGGTGTCAATTACCAAATACAACTTCAATCATTAATTACTTATGAAAAACTCAAATTACACGCAAAATTAAACATCTGATTCAAATTAGACTTCATCAAATTTAAATGGATATTCGTTAACACTTTATTGACTAGTCCAACACTTACTTGCCTATGAGTGTGTGGAAGTCACCAATCATAGAATAAAAACCGTCTGTTTGCTCAACAAAATAGTTCTAGAGTTCCACCTGTCAGTCTGATCTAACCCTTTTTTTGAAAAAAATACAGATATCAATAAGAAATTATCCCTGAAACAAACAACTATGAAACTAGATAACTCTCCATTAATAATAACATTATAACTTTGGCTTTAATTTAAGTTCATAATTTAGTGTAAAATGTATTCATGTTCCATGATAAAACTGAGTGTTTTAATCATCCTAACTGCTGTACTGTGTAGATGAAGTTAAAGGACACGACTTAGGTGGTGAACATTTTTATTTATAAAATTGTAAATCTCTGTAGAAAGAGAGATTTCTATGAAATTTATACATGATTATTTTCTTAATTAAGCCTGTTACTCCTCATGGAGGAGCATTGACCTCCCACCAAACTTCTCAAATCAACTCTGTCCTTGGCTCGTCTTTCCAACTTTTCCCAGTTGTTATTCATCCCTTTGATATCAGCTTTTAATTCTCGATGCAGTGTGTACTTTAGTCATTCACTTTTCCGTTTCCTTTCAAGATTACAAGTTAATGCTTGCCTCATGATGCGGTTTGATGATTTCCGTAATGTATATTCTACCCTTTCCCATCATCTTGCCTAATTTCCTTTTCGGTTCAAAGTTGGTATATTATCTTTTACAGTAGGATGTTGATGTTGGTATCTGGAAAACGGATATTGAGTACGATGAATAAACATCATTTATAAACACTTGTGTATGTATGATGACGGTTGTGATTGCTCTCCAAGTTTCAACTTCATATAAAAGAACTGTCTTGACATTCGTATTGAAGATTGTGACTTTGCTATTAGCTGACGGCTTTTGAGCTCTATGTGTTGTTCAACTGTAGGAATGGTGCATTTGCTTTTCCAGTTCTTTCCATTGAGTCTGCATCAGATCGTCCTCGTTCATCTACAATGCTGCCCGGGTACGTGAAAGATTCCACCTCTTACAGATTTTCCCCATCATGTGTGATAGGGTTGTTGTTCACAGTGTTGTATTTGAGGATGTTGCTTTTTCTCTTGTGTGTGTTGAAGTCTATTAAAGCAGATGCTGCTGCTATACTAGTTGTCTTAATCTGCACTTGTTCGTGTGTATGAGATAGTAGGACTAATTCATCTGAGAAGTCCAAATTATCTAGTTGCATCTAACCTGTCCATGTTATTCCATGCTTCCCCTCAGATATCGAGCATTCATGATCTAATCAACCACTAGAAGAAAGAGGATGGGTGAGAGTAAGCAACACTGTCTGACACCGGTCCTCATTTGGAATGCATCTGTCAACTGTCCTACATCCACACTTCGTAGTGTAGTTTGTCGCATGGATTCCGTATGATGTTGAAAATTTTATCATGTACACCATAATGTCGAATATGATTCCATAGTGTTCTCCTATCCACACTGTCAAACACTTTCTCATATTCAAGGATGTTAATGTATGGTGACGGATTCTATTCAATTGAGGTTTCAACGACGATCCATAGTGTCGCGATTCGGTCTGCGCACGACCGATTCTTACAAAATCCGGTCTGTTGATCTCGAGGTTGTGAGTCTACCGAATCTTTCATTAGGTTGAACAACACTCTGTTGAAAAGATTTCCTGGTGCTAAGAATAGTGTGGTGCCTGTGTAGTTATCACATTCACTCAGGGCCCTTTTCTTTGATATGCCGATGAGGTGTTCTTCTTACCAGTCTGTCTGTGGTAATTGTTTTTCCCCCCAAATCTTGCTGAATAAAACGTGGAGTATGTTTGCAGATACTGCTTTGATGTCCAATGGATTCAATGTGTAATATCCCATAGTGAATTACGAATGGTAACTTTTAGGTCTATTTATGGAGCAATGTAATATGCCTATTTCCTATTGTACAATTGTTACGTAACTAAACTATTCATATTCGTGTTTCTTTTATCATTAGCTTTATTTTGACCTTTGACTTATTATCATACGATTCTTGAGTTATAATCAGTTTATTGATTACTGTGGTTTGTATAAAAACCCAGTATGTTTGTAAATAATGATTCATATTGCCGAGGCTGTTATTTGTGTTCTGGACTTAACTGACTGGGCTAGGCATATAGCAGGACCGAGTGGTAATCAAGACTGCTCATACGATTTTATGTATCACTGCTCTGATCGATAAATCGCTCTTCTCTCATTGGCGGTAATCAGCACGTTCATATACTAAAGAGGGCAAGCAGGCAATCGATATAACAACGGGCACTCACTCGTTACAACACAATGGAGCTGGTCTATTCAAGAGTTCCTCAAAGTGTTGAGCACATCTCTTCCTCTGTTCTTGAATATCAATGATCGGCTTGCCTTCTTTGTTCTCGACCGGTCTCTCTGGTTTGCTATATTTCCCACTCAGTTCCTTCTTTGTGACATATAGTTGTTTCATATTTCCATCTCTTGCAGCTTTTTCTACTGTTGTAGCTGCTTGTCGTCTTTAATTCTTCTCCTCAATTGCTAGTTTGCTTCTGTGTATTCATTTTGTGTCTTGACATTCTCTGCCCTTGTTCGACTGGTGTTAATTGCTGTCTGCTTGTTCTTGCTTTCTTGGATCTTGTCGATGATTTCCATAGAGGTTCATTCCTCATGATAATGCTTGTTGCAGCACAGCACATCCTAACACGCTGAAGTTAATGCTTCTTTAATCCCTCTCCCGGTTGTCCTTCATGCTAGTTTCATTTTCTTTCAGTAGATCTTGTAGGGCTTGTAGCGTGTTGTTGAGAGTAATCTTGAATTCGTTGAGTCTTTCAGTATGTCGAAGGAAGGTTGTATTTAACCTTTGTGAAACTGTGCAGTTGTCCAGTGTCCTTTTTTAGCTTTGGTTTCATCTTGAACACATTTAGATGGTGATCTGAAGCTATGTCAGCTTCTCTCCTGGTTCTCACGTCTTCCATTGACGTTCTAAGTTAGTTACTGATGCAAATATGATCGATTTGATTCTCTGTAATATGAACCAGTGAGACTGATGCAGCTTTGTGTATATGTTTGTGTGGAAATATTTTGACGCCTGTAACCATTTTATTAAATGCTTTTAGATTTATAAATCTCACTACTTCCGTTTCTCTCCCCCAGTCATTCCATGTCATCCATTCCGACTTCAGAGTTTATGTCTCATTAGGATGGTTGTGTTTTTTCCTGAGCACTTTGCTATGATTGACTGCAGCCTCGAATAGAACTGATCTTTATCGTCGTCGTTGCTATCATTAGTGGATGCATAACATTGGCTAGCATTCATTGTGATTCCCTCCCTCTTCGTTTTCAATGATGCTTTTTTGAACCTGGGTCCATCAGATTTCCATCCTATAAGTGCATTTCGTGCTTCTTTGGACAGCATCGGAATAACTTCCTGAGTATGTGTAGCATTTTTCTCTTCGTGACCGGAGTACAGCAGCACCTCTCCCGTATCTAACCTTGCCATCAAGCCTGGGTCCAATGGGTGTAACTGATCCTGAAAACTACCAAGTTGTAACTCCTCACTTCTGTCGCCATTCAATTAGTCCTCTCGAACTCCCACATCGTTCGGACATGCCACATACCTATAATATTGGTTGCTGTGGTTGTTAGAATGACATCACTCGTGTGACTTCCGAAGAATCTTGGCTTTCAACATGAACCATCATAATTTTTCCTTCAACTCGGAGGGCAGAGTTTAAATGGTTTAAATTTTTTATTCTGGTTAGCGTTTTTTAGCAAGGTTGTTTTCTAAGGGATTAGGTTGCTGATCCGATGCCCAATCCCTCTCTATTACCCGGTCTAGGGACCGGCAGTAACCATAGAAGAGCTAGAGGCAGAGTTTTTGTACATGATAGCTGATAACTAATTTGCCGTATTTATCGACAGTGTGAGGGAATATTTTAGCTCAAAAGAAACAACCTAAAAGATGTAGATACTTGTTCATAGTTTTAAATTTTGAGATAAATAAAAGTACTTTGATGATGGAGTTATTACTCCTTCACTAATTGATAATTACCAATATACATTAGATTGACAAATTGTTTAGTATATTCAAATGAAATTTGTAGTGATTTAATATAGTAAAGTTATTATATGCTATCAAATTTCGTAGGTCTTAGGCTAAAAAATCTCTATGCCATTTAACATTCGCAGAATCCAATTATACCTGAATAAAAGTTTGGTCTGACTTATCACAGTTAATTCATTCTTCAGACTTATTTTTAGACAAAATATCTTAAACCTTGAGATTATATAAAGGACTAGGTGAATTTATACTTTACGAAGGACCTTTATGTGACGCTAAAGTGACCTTGAGAGTGTCCATCTAATAACTAGAACTAAATGAGAGCTATAAACCAGTGTGGAGAATTAAGGTTATGTTTTACAATTGATGGTTAAGGTTAAGAATTAGATTTATGGTTTCCATCACGAACTGATATCACCTATAATGCCAAAACTCTAGTTAACCAAATGGATGAGTGAATTTCATGCCCGAATCCGAGACCTGATATCTTATACCTAATTACTACGTCCATAAATTATAGTCTCACTGAAGATTAGATACAAAATAATCAGAAAGGGTTTTGTGGAAATTTTAGTTTTTTGATAATTGAAATCATAAGTCAATTGAAGCTAAACCACCATGGAAAACCTGGAAGCACTGGATGGCCGTTTCGTCTTATTATGGGACCACTCAGCAGTGCGCATCTACGATCCCGCACCCGCGAGATTCAAACACAGGACCTACCAGTCTCGCGTCAGAGCAGTTAACCGATAGACCACTGAGCCGCATCCAACGGTGTTATTGTCCAACTCCAATCAATCCACCAAATTTGAGCAATCGTTCACAGACGTGTCTGGACTACACTGGTCATTGCTTCCCGCTAGAACTCCATGACATGTATCTTGGATGCCGGCTCATTGGTCTACTGTTTAATTGCTCTGGCGCGAGACTGACAGGTCCTGGGTTCGGATCTCAACGAGGCGGGATCGTGCATGCGCACTGCTGAGGAGTCCCACAATAGGACGAAACGGCCGTAAAGGGCTTTCAGGTTTTCCTTAGTGGTCTAGCTTCAATTGACTCATGATTTCAACTATAAAGATACAAAATAAATAATTTGGTACAAATAAACTTACTATATGCGTATATTTTATTTCATATTTATTTAGATCCAAACTTTATGAAATTGATTTAAAACCAGTTTGTAAAGAATGTTATGATAAGTTACCAATGCAATGGAAAAAAATCCTGGCAAAAATTCATCGTTCAGATAGACAAAAATGGAATAATTAATGATTTAATTGTAATATTCATAGAAATATAACAAATCTACTTTTATATTTGTATACAATCATTTAGGGAAGCTATTTCAAATAGTTGAATTATATATATTTTTTTAAAAAACAAAAACAAACAATCATTTTTATAAACAAATTATATAAGCTACTTTTTAGTAATCTATTCAATGTTTCAACAAAATTTTATTTTCTATAGTATTTTGTATTTAAATTGTATTCATAGTTTTCAATGTCATATACATATATTCTGATTCCTCTGTACTGCAATTAAAGTAATCTATGAAAATCAAAACAATTCATGTTATCCATCTCTGCTTACCATGCTTGTGAATTAAGGTATATCGAGGCAATACGCACAGTATGCACATATGCCATTAAGAGACTGACCAGTTGCAGTCCTAAACACATCGATGGGAAGATCCAAACAAACAATACTAAGTGAATTCAATTCATGTTATTTGTTTGTTTTTTTGATCCAATTATTTAAACTTATATTTGTTGAGATATCGATTAGCAAATAATGTTGATAAAAAGAGTACACCTAAGTTGTCATGGTATTTAAATCAGTGGTGTACAGTTTTTCACTTGATATTATTTAAATAACCAAGATAAAGGCGGAATTTAAACAAGGTCTTTGTATAGTTTTCATTTGTGAAGCTTTCTATCGAGCAATCAAATGGATGGGAAGATTTTAAAGTATGAAAATATTGTCATCCTATATGTTACGTTAAAGTCTTCTTTCCAGTTCTAACTGAGGAAAAATAATTAAATACACAAAAACGAATAATAAATATATTTTCTGAAGACGCTTAAGTTAGGAAAATAAATTTGAATTAACTATTCCATACGTTGTTCTCTAAGTTACGAGGTTTAATTATAGCCTTAGTATCTATTTCATGGGTTATTAGCTTGTGTTTCGTTAGTTTCCAACATTAAGAAACCATAAGACCGAAAATTTGTTGGATTCTTTTACAATGTAGTCATAAAGACCTTGAAATATATTTCCTGTAAGGGCACGTGTTTCTTCTAGTCAGCCAGCGTTTATTCATGATTTTCGACTCTATTAGAGGAAAGTATAATTTTCAAGCGAAAAATCAGGAAGTTGTATCTTTTAATATCTGCCTGACATATATTTAAGTGTCATTGATTGAGATAAATGTTGAAAGATGTGAAATGTCACTTAAACTTCTGATCTCTTTAAAATCACATTCAGATTCGACTTTTTTAAAAAACAATTACAAATATTTCCGAGTTCGATGTTGTTTATAAATATAATAGGTCGTAATGTGGGATATTTATTTGACATTTACCCTGTGTAAGTGGTTCTTAGCTTTTGTTTACATCTAGTATTCGCCTTATTTTTTAGTAGCTAACTTCCCAAATAGCAATTGGCTTAGCTTACCTGTTCCTCCGAGTCCCGTAGTATACATGAAATGTAAAAAAACGTTATGTAAGCACTGTATATTTTTTCTGGGGTTTTGATGGATATTATTACATTCGAGGTGATGAAACTACTTTAATGAAAGATAGACTACTTTCTAAAATTGGGGACTGATGAAAGTTAGTCTTTAATAAACGTTTTCAAAATACTTTTGAAATGTAATCTAACATATTCAATAGTTTAATTGCAATGTCAGTATTTACACTTAAAAGAACTACGCCGTTGGTGTATTTCAAACATACGAGACCGACTTAATTTTGTAGATCCGTTCCCGAAAACAGCCATGTGATTTTACTTATAAAAAAATTTTCGATGAAAATAAATGATTATCTGCAGAGCGGTAGCCACAAATCTAAACCATCTAAACCAAACAGTTTACAAAAAGTTAATAAAATCCGAGTAAATGTATTTTCAGAAGGTTAAGATGTTCTATACAAATAATCAAATAGAATTAGCTTAAATCTGTAGAACATTATTAAGGAAATCTTGTTTTCAACTGGGATACTGAATATTTAAGTGAACTGAAACTTTATTATGATTCGCCTGCTAACGGTAATCAGTGGTTTGGGACTTTATATGCAATCGATTAGAATCATTCTCAGTTGTACAGATCCACTCCATTTGCTTCAAAGTTCTACTATTCCTTAATATATACTTTCTCATACCTTATTCTTGAATCATGCTCTTAATGTCTTATCTTTTCTATTACCAGTGTTACAGAATTATTTCGACTATTTTATTAGTCACCTCGTTCATTTCATCTTGTAGTGCAAATGAAGTATGGGAGTTTGTGTTAACATTTATTTTTGTCAGGTTCTACCTTGATTATGACTAATAGACTAACTGACTGTAATTTCTGATCTCACATATTCTGAAGGGTTCAAAACACTTACTTTTGTATTTATTCTCTTAAACTTTGATGTTCATCGTATATGTAAACAATCAGGGTGTGAAAGTCAGTCACTTGTTTTTACATCTAGGAGATCACTGCTCTCTATTTGTCAAAACGCTATAATTTTGTCTGTCAATCAATTAAAATGAACGAATTTATCATCATTATGAAAATTGTTTCGGATCAATTTTCCAATTTAGCTTACAAGTCCTTCGAAAAGTTAAATGCATTTAACTACTTCATTTCGGTTGGTTGTATCTTCGCTTTACAGAATTGTATATAAAACGAAACATGTAATTGAAAATGTTCTCATGAGATTTATTCAGAAATTCCTTTTGAATATATAATCAATAACTAACTGAGTGAGTATATGTCTATATATTAAGACATAAAAGCTATTATTACCAATGAAAATGTTCCCCCAAACGTTTATGATTACGTTTCACTTGTCAATTAACAACTGCTTTGATATTGTCTTGAGTAATAAACATTATAAACAGAGATGGATTCTACTGCTACCCACCATCCATCTCTACTTAAAATGTTTTTGACTTGAGGCAATATCAAGGCAATCTGCACAGAATGTATATATGCTAATAAGAGACTGATCAATAGCAGTTCTAAAAATTAATGAGAAGATTCAAACAACGAATACAAAAAGTGAATTAACAATTTATAAGTCAAGAAGAGGTATGAAAGTCACGAAATAATCAACGACAGTTAACAGTCGACAGTCACCAGGTTTCCATTTGTACACCAAGATAATTAATTATCAATGTTAACATGGGTTAACATTAATTTATGTATTAAATCATGTGTGTACATGTATGCATGTATTTCTGTGTGAATGAGTGTTTGTATGCATATTTATCTATGTAAGTGTGAATGTAAGTATGACTGTAAGTACTGTAATCAGATTCAGTCACTATGGTTAATTTCCCTCATCGTTGTTTCAGAAAATTAATAAAACAGATAATCAATTAGTTAGTTAATTAATTATGAATCAAATTACTCTCATTTTTGTCGTTATTTATTTTTCTTGTGTTGATTACAAAGTTCCTTTACTGTTTGTATTTAAATGCATTTGTGTATGTGCTTTCATTTGAAATGTCTGTGCTTTTGATCATTTCATGTACCAACTTACTAATCTATAGTATCCCAGTATTCTTTTAAGTTTTTATATTTCATCTTCTATAATCCTATCTGTTTTCGTTAGATTGTAATTTATTTTATTAATTTCTTTTTCTTTTTAATAATCAATATTGTTTTATTTTCTGAAGGGGTTTTGTGGAGATTTAGTACTTTTCATAGTTGAAAGTGTGAGTCGGTTAAGCGCTCTGGCGCGAGACTGGTAGGTCCTGGGTTCGAATCTCACAAGGCCAGGTCGTGCATGCGCACTGATGAGGAGTCCCATAATGGGACGAAACGGCCGTCCAGTGCTTTCAAGTTTTCCTTGGTGGTCTAGCTTCAATTGACTGACGCTTTCAACTATTGTTTTATTTGTTAATGTTTCCCCCCTTATCGATAATCAGTACTTAATATTGCTGAAATATTCAACATTATTTGAATTTATACATACACTAGGTTTGTTAAAACATTTTTCACGTTTTAGAAGTTGAATATGTACAGTATATAGACAATTTGGTTATTTATGATATTCTCGAGATCTTTTTAACTTCATCATTGAAGTAATAATAACTTTGATGCAGTTATGTATTCCATTAGGAGATTGATTAAAACATTACCGAGGAATTCTTATGAAATAATAGTTTGTAAAAAAGAATGTATGCTGATTAATATACTCAGCAAAATAGTGTATCCAATGTAGCGAAGTGTGTCTGAGGCAAAAGGAATAGACTGCTAGAGTTATTGACATAGGTAAATGAAGTTATATTAAAATGAATAAAGTTGAAAACTCTCCACTGATTAATAAATGAGTAGTAATTTCATAGTCTTAGAATTCTATTCATTTTATTTTTAGAGCTCCAAGTTATTGGGACAAGTATGCTTCAGTACTTCCTTTAATACTACCTTATTATTATAATTTTATTGCAGCTCTCCTACAATCAATCTCGATTATGGTTGATTATTTTAAAACCAGCTTTCATCAATTGCGATCTTTAGTTGACAAGTGCAGATACCTTGATGACGGTCCCATCAACAAAACACGAGTATCAAACATCAACGACGCAAATGAAGCAAAGAGAAGAGATTCCAGTAACGTTGAAATTCGGCTGCAGAGTAAGATGGCCGCAACGCTATGTAGGTACAATTTTAAATTGATAGTTTCCCACTATTTTGAATATTATTATAATTCTTCCCCTTCATTGTGTGCATACGAAATGGTAAGCTCATGTTATACACTTCAAAACTCGGCATATCTTATATATCTCGACGCTTATATGTATAATCTTTTAAAAGCGATACCATATCCATTTCTACTGTTTTATCTGGCTTCATGGACGTGCGAGAACTCAGATATACATTACTAACGTTACCCAATTCCTAAATGAAGAGAAAATTAAGGAAATATACTTGATGAGTAAGACATTCATTGCGGAAATCAGCAAACCATATCATGATATCCGTTAGCATATACATCCCAACAGTGTATGAAGTCAGAAGGTAATAAGAACTGGCGACTACAGTTTATTAGAGGATA